GCCACCGAGCCCCTGGTCCTGCCGCGCCGCGCCGCTCCGGCATTCTCCAGCTCAGTAACAATTTCGCAGAATCCCATCACGTCACAATCCAGGCCCCCTCCAATTGGCCAGTGGGGAGGGTGATTCAACTCTGTTTACTTTCTCCCCCTGCCAGTCAGAAGGGCCCTTCGGTGGAGAGGTGCGTCTAGAACTACAGCGCGCGGCCAATCCGACCGTTCCGTTCCGCCGCCGCGTGCTGCCCCTCCAGCCCCGAACGCTGACATTTAAAAGGGAAACTGTTCGGAGCCGGGTGGCGCATCCCCGCCGATGCCGCCCGGTCCGCGCGCGCGCCCACGCCTCCCGGCCCACGTGCCAGCTGGCGTGGCTTGGAGACGTATCTCCCCCAGGCGGTTACACCCGTTCCTAGGGCCGAAACAGAAATTCAGCTTCGGGTTTCCAGCCTTCAAATAGTTAAGTGACTTCCTGCAAACGCTACAGTCCCAGCAACCAGCCTTCCAATCAAAAGTAAGTTGGTTGATGTCACTGGCATTGCCTCAGCCAATCAGAAGGGCGTTCCGAAAGCAAGCGCTCGACACTTGTAAACCTGCGGAGCTGTAGTGAAACCGGACAGATCTTTACATTTTGTGTTGCTGGTGGTAACCCTGAAATATAGGTGGGAGGACGGGGTGATTAATAAATGCAGTGTGAATTTTAAACAAACCCTCAATATGGCTGGTCACACTATCCAAGGACAAACTCTGAGGAGACAGCATCGATTGGTTCTTGTTTGGATTGCAGCACTTTGGTTTAAAGTTCTTCCACCCCACATATACTATGAGAAATTCATCGCAAAAATTCACAGCTAACAAAACATCTGGTTCCAGAATCTTGCACAGATCCACTATATCTTGGTATTTGCTATAGGTGTTCCTACTGCCCCAAGTGCTACCTTAAACCAAGAAAAACCAGCACAAACCCTCATTTGCATAACTTTAAAAACTCTTTTCTTTTCAGGGACTCCTGCGGGGCACATTTCCTCCCCTTTGCTTTGCAAATGTTGGAGAACAAGACTTTTCTACCTTATCAGGTAGATAATAGGACTCAATAGAAACCACAGGGTTCCTGATTCCCAAGTCTGCTTTAGAGAAACAAGCCCCTGTGAAATATTAACTAATTAAAAAGATTCTTAAAAACTGGAATCAACCAGAAATCCTTACCAAGTGACTCTTGTGGTATTACTTGATCAACAATTAGTGTGGGTTTCTCATGAATGCTAGGGTTGTTTTCCATCTTGATAGCTGAGCAAAGAATCTAGGGCCAATAACCCTAGCAGGGGCATATGGTCAAGGGCACTGCTGATTCAAAATCCATAAAAAATCCATCCACTTATCCTGAGTATGAAAGGCTCTTGTTTCCATGAGATGCTAATTTCACAATATCTAACCCTGCCACCCACTAGTGATTAACCTTTAATGTTTGGGATGCTTCCACAGGGTTCTTCTGGCTCTCAGATGGATCCTTTTAGTTTGAAGGGTAGAATAGATCATTTTGACCTTGAAAGTTATACAGGATAGACACCACACAAGGTCATTCCCTGGGAAAGGAACTTGTAGAAAGTAGGGCTGACCTGTGGAGAATTACCGCCATGAGCCATGATCAATCATATCCGTATCCAACGCCAGAGAGCATGGAGACCTGCTCTGTGCCAAGCCTAGGCCCAAACACCCTCATGGACCCTTGTAGTAATTATGTGAGGTAAGTACAAGTATAGCACACTATGTAACAGGGAAGCCATCTTGCAATTTTTTTTTTTATTCTAAAAACCTTAATTTCAGGAAGGAATTCACAGAAGTTGGCCATGGTGGTATATACTAAGTTCCAGACTTAGGAGGATGGAGCATCTGAGGAGGCCAGCCTGGGTATAGCCTGGGCTACAGAGTGAGAGCCTGTCTCAAAAAGAAAGAGGGAAAGGAAAAGAAGGAAGGAAGGGAAGGAGGGATTGATTCTGCCCAATTCATGATCATTTTTTCTAGACTCAACTCTGTCCCTAGGATACATGGTTAGAATTTGCATGTCTGCCTGCCCCCTGAGGCACAGCACAGATAACCAGTGGATCTCTCCAGGAGCCCCTATGATCAAGGCCTCCCAGACCTGTGTTTCCACTAGCATGAGTTTCTGACCTAGGTCTGACAGGTTACCAAAACTTTAAGGTTAAAATCAGTATTGTCCTCAGAAAGAAAAAAAAA